ATGTAAATGTAAGAGTGAGACACACTTTAGTTTACTAAATGACAAACCTGACATGCTCACAGATGTATAAGAGATGCATAGCTAGCTTTGTTAAGCGGTGAGTTCCTCGTCCCTGGGGGTATGTAAGCAGTGTCTGAGAATCTGCTTGCTGTGGATGTTGTGGTGGGTGTTCACATATTAGATGGGGCTAGATGACCTAGTTTGGGGGAGGTCCCTTCCCATCCTGAGAGCCACAGCTGGGTCTGGGGGGGGTCCCTTCCCGTCCTGAGAGCCACAGCTGGGTCTGGGGGGCCCCTTCCCGTCCTGAGAGCCACAGCTGGGTATGGGGGGCCCCTTCCCGTCCTGAGAGCCACAGCTGGGTCTGGGGGAAGGAAGGTGAGTGGAGGCAGCGTGTACCTGCGCTTCTCGTTCCAGGCGTTGTACCACTTGATGAAGCGCTTGGTGCTCTGCAGCTTGGGGTGCAGGCAGTGCTCCTGACCTCGGTACCTGGACACGCTCTTGGTGGTGATGCTGAAATGGAACAGATGAGGTGAAGGGTTGAGGAGCCTGAATAACATGTTGCCCCTCATGTGGCCTGTGGGTGGCCCTGGGCATAGTCCGGTCCCTTAGAGACTGTGGTTTCCTCCCTCCTCTCAAGGGAGCCTACTTATGTGCTCACTCCCTGGCTGGCTCTTTGGAAGGTTCTGGGTGTCCCTTATTCTCCGACTCTATATTCGGGCCTAACCCTATATGGAGTGAGCAGCCCTCACTTTTCCCCTCGAAGCCCTGAGAGTCTGGGATGGTCTCTCTCCCACCCCCAACCTCATACAGTGTCTTGTCTCCAGGGCTCAGGCCTTTTTTAGGGAACAAAGGTCAGAGGACTCTTCCAGCCCCTCTGAGCCTGGGATCAGGAGGTGGAGAAAGCTAACGCCAGCAAGGTGCACGTGCCAAGACCTCTGTCCTTGGATTTGAGGAGCTCATGGTAGGGCTGAGACATGCCCTGCAGACACTCTGCTTTCTGTCTCCTCAACCTCAGTTTCCTGACCCACCGCAGATTACCCGGGGGCTGGACACCTCCTGATCCTGATACAAAGTCTTGTTGGCCTTGTGTGAGGTCCCAGGTGTCTCACCCCTGAGCAGAAAAGCAAGACCTCTCTTTTGCACAGCCTGAAGTTCTCAGGCCTCTATCAGCCAATGTCCCGACACCCAGCAGAATCCTAGCCATGTGGTAGAGGAGCAGGTGTTGTGCCGACTGTCGGAGTCTGGGACTGAATCTCCAGTTTGGCTGTGGGACCTTGGGAAACCTTTCTGAATCCAGTTTGGCCATCTGTAAAATGTGTACAATAATAGGGCTGTCTTTGGGGGTTACTGGGATGGTTAAAAGATACAGTCTTTACAAAGTGCCCAGGACCTGGTGGATGCACAGTTAATAGTTACTGTTATTAGCCATCATCATGGAAGAGGAACTGGCCGAGGGGAAGGAGGAGCCTTGCTGTGTGGGCTCCAGCCTGGTGGGCGGGCAAGCCTGCGCCTCAGAACTTCTGAGCCCCTCTCATCCAGGGCTGGGCCCCAGGGCTGACAGGAGGTAGGGGGAATGAGGGACCACCTAGGGTATTTGGAAAAGTGCAGGGCGAAAGGTTAGGATGCCACTTCTTGAGGGGTCACAGCCAAGCAAGCTATGGTGGTAGACTGTGGTGCTGGGATGGGCTCGGATGGCAAAGAGGGGAGACTGGAAGTGAGAGTGGACAGAGTGAGAAGAGAGGGACAGAGATCAGCTAGTTCCCCACTGTTACCAAATGGAAAGTGTCAGGGCTTATGGCTAAGTTCTAGAAGGGGGCAGGATTGCCATGACGTCAGTCTCCCAATTGATGGGGAAAGAAAATTGGATCTTGCCACCAGAATGTGGCATAATGTTCCTGGGCAACCTGTTCTCTTCCCTTCTCCGCGCTCCGTGTTTCTAGGGTCCCCACTAGGGCCTAAGCTCCCAGGCTGGGTCTTCCTGCTGATGCCAGGTGATGGTTCCTGCCTTGACTGGACCCCTCTGTGACCCAGGTCATCCTGTAGCCTTGAGCACAGGCCAGGCTTCAGAGTGAACTCTGGCTGTCTCTCTCCCCACTGTACCCAGTCACCCTGCAGGAATTTAGCAAATGCTTTTTTCTTTCTGCCTACAAGGCTGCTTTTGCATTCTGAAGGAAAGGACAGGCAACGCCTGATAAAAACCCTTTTCTCAGTGAGGTCAGCATGCAGGCTGCCCATCCCAAATCCTGAAGGTCAGGGAGAACAGGAAGGGATGCTCAGCCCTCCCACTGTAGTGCTCAAATACCACGTCATAATGCTGGGATTATGAAAATCGGTTGTGGAGGGCAGGCATGGGGATTTGTGACTCCAGCAACTATCAGAAATTCTGAGTTCTGTGACCCTCTCTTACACAGTTCTGGGGGGTGTAAGGGTTTTGGTGAGAGCTCCATGGACCTATGACACAAATTGCCCTTTCTAGAATCCAGACCCTTCTGGATCCTTCTGGGTGCAAGGACTCCCACTTGCAAAGCGGACCACTCCCCCCTGCCCCTGCCCCAACCCTAGCCTCAGCAAAGATTTCTGGGTGACTCAGGGTGAGCTGGAAAACTTGCTTTTGTTCAGCCTTTGTGGCTGAAAACCTGCTTTGGCAAAAGTGCTGGCCCCTCATCTGATCTGGAGAGTTTTAGGATTGTGGATGGGGAGAGGAGCCCCCAGCTCTCAGGGATGGAGTAGGAGGCTCTGGGGTGGGGTGGAGGTTTAGTAGAGGGTGACTGGATTGTGTGCTGATCTCCTGATGCCCCTGCAAGTTTCCACAAGGCTCCAGAAGCCTTTCATGCACTTACCTAGCTATAGTTTCCCTCTGTCTGTGGAAAAGTTTAGCCAGGAAAAGAGCAAGCCTATTTGCTGAGGGCTCTGTCTTTTCTGGTATCACTGCATCCTTTACCCTGCTTTCTTCCCCTGCAAAGTCTCAGATACCCGCTTGGTATATGGAGCATATTTCAGCTCTTAGACGAGTGAGATTTAACTTGCAATTCCCCCTGTCATTAGCCTCCAACCTGGAAGCCTTGAGGAGCTTGGAGCTCCTTTTCCAGCTCATTTGGCACTTGGCCCCCACCCAAAAGGATTTTTGGGTGTTTTTTTGAATTTGGTCTGCAAGACAAGGGGTAAGGACAAGGGAGTTAATTTAGGTGCCTGTGAAGGAAGGCAGTGGGGTCAGCTCAGGCCCAGTGGCTTTCTGGATTCCCCTAACTTCAGCCTGACTGTGTAGCCCCCAGGCAGGGGATGTAGGGTGCTGGGTTGGGGTGTGCCCTGCTTTCACAGACACTGTGTGAAGGTCTTTGCACCCGCGGGGGCCAGCCGGTGGAAGGCACTTGCCCAGACTGAGAATAAAGTGCGTCCTGTTTCTGGGGGAGGGGAAGAGGGGATGATGATGTGTGGCAAATATTTGGTGGCCGCTTTGCCAAGGGCTCCCTTCCTAGCCAAGAGCATATTGATGAGGAGGCAGGGTGCTGGCCTCAAGTGGTTAACTGGGAAGGCGGAGGAGCAGGAAACTCAGTGTTCTCTCAGTGTGCCCCAGTTTTTCCAGCATTGCCCACATCTCCACCAAGCAGGGCTCCAGCCATGTGGCACATTAATCCCAGCAGAGTACTTTCTGCAGGACTGCTCAGTATCCAGGACCCACAAGGAGTACAGCCCATCAGGGAAGCCTGTGGAACGTTCTCAAAATGAAATCTCTAGGAGCCAAAAACTGGCCGTCCACTGGTCTCTGACTGGAACAAGGTTCTGAAGGAGGTCAGAGTTTAAGATGTGCTTGCATTAATACTCTGTCCAGTGACAGAAGGCAGCACGCCTCACAGTTTAGGTGTGAGTATGTTTTGAGTGATTTCAATCTAGATTTTCTGAGTCGGCAAAAGGGATCCCTTTAACCCTCCATGGCCCTAGCAGAGTGGGTGGCCCATGGGACAAATAGCTAGACGACTCCTTTGAATCTTAGCAAGGGTGAACTTGGAAGTGCTGTTCCCGAGCGGGACCGTGACCCCCTTTCCCCACAGTCTTCCAGTGTCTCGCCAGCGTCCTGAGGACTCGCTGGGCAATTACAAAAGCTTTTCCTGGGCCTTGAAAAAGTCAGAGAGAAATGTTTGTTAGCCCGACCCAGGCCCAGGCTGTGCCCTGTCATCGGGGTGAGAGCAGTGCATACCCCCTCAAGGTGAGGAGCAAGAACTCACATAACCATCTTCTCCTCGCAGTGCGGGTACTTTGGCTTCATTTCCAGCTTCTTCACGTCGCTGTAGCGGATCTTGGGTCCCTTCCGGGAGCACTTGCATTTGGACCCTGTAGGAGATCGCGGGGCGACTGCTTAGCTGCATGCAACTGCAACTAAGCAGTGGGAAGGGGATCTCCTGCTTCTCAACCACTCATGGTGCCCACCCAGACCCCCTCCCTCTCGCCCCGGGATCCCAGGATGCCTAGAAGTTGGCGCTTGGGTTCCCCAGGACAGAAGGAGCCGAGACGGCGACAAGGGGACCTCCCCGCACTCACCATCCACGCGCGCGGTGTACAGCGCCAGGAGCAGCAGCAGCAGCGCGGCCGCCAGGAGCCTCATGCTGACCAGAGGGGCGCGGCGCGGGAGCAGGGACATGGGGAGGGCGCTGGCCCGTCGGTGCGGAGACCCAGAGACGCCACCCGGCTCTGCTCGGCTCTCTCTGCCCGAGGTGCGCCTCCTGGCTTGGCTGGCTCCGGCTGCGCCGTCGGTGGATGCCCGGGACTATCTGCAGCCGTGCGCTGTGCGCTGCGCTCTGCGCTGGGCTCTGCGCTTTCTCCACAGCCTCCCTCCGCCCGCCCTGGGCTCTTTTAAATCCGCTCCAGCCCTCGCAGCGAGCGAGCTCATTAATATGCAGCACCACTCGGTGACTCACTGAGATTTCTCAATGTGGTGAGGGGAGGAGACCTCCCCAGCCCGCCCGTCGCCCGCCCCGGGAAAGGACCGCAATCGCAGCGGCGCTCACCCGGGGCCACGCGCGCACACGCACATACACACACATCCACTACCCTCTCGCTCACACAGCACGCCTCCTTCGCACATTTGCACACCCAGACCACAGCGCGATACACTTCCAGAGTCCCGCTCTGCCTTTGGGGAGCGCAGACAGTAGAGAGGCTGCTGAAGGGCACTGCTTTTCTGAATCGCGTGCTTCGCTCTCTGGCCAGGCAGGCCAACTGTTCTGACCCGCCCGGAGACCCAGGCCCAGGGCCCAGATTCTCAAAGAAGACCTGAAAGGGTTTTGGAGCAGGTGCCAAGTGTGAGTGCCTGCAGGCCTGACTCCCAGGGTCCTCTGCTGGGCCAGCAGCCCTGGCGGCCAGAGCACAAGGCCAGCTCTGGACAGGGGCTTGTCATAGACTGTACAGCAGCAAAGTCATTGACTGTGGTCACTGGAACTGACTCAAAGAGGGTATGTGTGTGTGGGCGGGGGCGGGGGCGGGTATTGGGGAGGGAATTTTGGTTACTCCCAAAGGAAAGCTCCTTAAAGTGGGTCAGTGGCCTGGTGGCTTGTGAGTGTCTGGGTGGTGGGGAGAACCAGGAGGAGTCCTCACTCTCACACTACTCTCCAAAGCCAGGCAGAGAGGCCTAATAGGGAGCAATGGCAACCATCTGGATGAAGGCCTTCCCACGTTCTAGACTTTGTGCCAGGATGGGAGGTGTAGTGGCGTGAGCTCAGCCCTGGTGGCAGAAACTCCCTCCCCACTCCTCACCAGCACAAGTGACTTCACCGCCGTCAGCTTTCGTTTCGTTTAGTCCTTTGTAAAGTGCAGATCATCACTGTTTCTGACAGGGTGGCTGTGAGAACTGTGGAAATCATACATCTAGTCAGTGCGCAGGAAATGTGACTTATTGGCACCATCATTTTATATGTAATTTATCTATTATTTTGATTCTTACAAATTGGTACTTTTCTTCCAAGTTAGGGCTTTCCATTTCTTTATTTGACAGGTGTGGAAACATGCTCTGTGAGAAGAAATAACTTTCCCAAGGTCACAGAGTCAGGGAGCAGGTGACTAGGCCAGAAGAGTCCTCAGTGTATGTGGCTGCAGAACTGGGACTCCTGTCCCTGGGCCACTCTGTTGCTTTGAGACCTCTCTGCCCGTCACTTCTTGCTGCCTTGAGAGACCCAGAGAAGGAGGTGGATCATCTCAAGCTCTTGGAGTCCCTGGGCTTGGCTCTCAGGATGGAGCTTATCCAGCTCTGTGCTGTCAGCCTGGCAGCTCCCTGGAGGCAAAAATGCCCAGAGGGCTTCTGGATGATGGGGACAGTCTGCTGAGGGGTGCAGTGGGAAGACTCTGCATCATCTCTTCCCAACTAAAGAGCTCCTGCTGCTTCAAGAAGAAGCCTAGCCATGAAAAGCAAGCAGTGCCTATGCGTGCTGTTGTGCCTATACCTGAAGCAAAGCCAATAGCTGGACATTTGTGTGTATGTATGAGTATGAGGAAGTGATTTTTGGCATTTATGTTAGTTTTGAAATAGTTTTTCTTAATACAGAAACAGCACATTTGCCCAGAAAAATCAGAAAACACAAGCAGAAGAAAACACAAGCATTTTCACCCAGAGTTCTATACCAAGATGCTAGCTGTGTTATCTTCCCAAACCACCCTCTCTTTGCTTTGCGTGCACATTCACACACGGGATCGGGCTGCATGTACTCTCTAATAACCTGCTTGCCGTACCTATTGGCATATTGTGAACATCGTTCCGTGTGGCTAATCTTGCTACAATAATAGCTCTCTTAATGGTTTCATTTGAGGCTGGGTAGTATAATGGCTAAGAGGTTGGTGTCTGGAGTCAGCCTGCTGGAGTATGCATCCTAGGTACTAGCTGTGTGACTTTGGGCAAATACCTTAACTCTTTTTGGTATTGGTTTCCTCATCTGTGAGATGGAGATGATAATAATACGTACAGCATAGGCAGAATTAAATGCAATGGTGCATATAATGCTTTTGATGTGGTCCCTAGCACAGTGTTTGATATGTGCCAACTATTGTGATTAGCTTGATTTAGATGCAGAGTATTCCATTGTACAGATGTGCCAGAATTAATTTGACTGCTCAGTGCTGGATATTTATTTGTATTGTTTTCAATTGTATCCTCTTACAACCAATGCTGTTTGACAGATTCTTGTAGCTCTATTTTGGGGTAGCCTTTAATACGTTGGATCAGGTCTCAGAGATAGAATCACAGGGCCCTGGCAATGACCATTTTAAGACTTTTCATGGAAATTGCCAGTTGCCTTCCAAAAAATACATTTTATGCTGCAAAGGAATTAAATACCAAGGTTTTCTAGAGCATGTAATGTATTTTTTTTAAATTAACAATTTTATTTCTAACATGTTTGTTTCAAGAATATGTTGACTGATAACTGGAATCGAACAGCACCAGCAATCATGGGCACTGAGTTTTCACAGGAAAAAGTAGTTGGCTCTAGAAATATGGACCAAAGTTCTCCAGCTTCCTAGACTGGACCAGAAGTCAGACATCTCAGTGTTTCGTCCTCAGTTACACTCCTCAGTCTGTGTATGCAGATATCTGGTTTACAGAAGGCAGCCACTGTGCAAGCAGAGATGACCCATTGTTTGTTTGAGTTCTTCTGGAGCCATGGTACAGGAAAGGATGCAGCCCCTGCTGCCAGCAGGTCTGTGGGTGGTGCTGCCCTGCTGGGTGAGGGAGGGGGCTTGGCCCCTGACACACCTTCAGGGCACAGACTCTGGTGAGCCCACACTGAGGGTCTCTGAGCAGGTGGGTATGGGTGAGGTCATTCTTTGCACAGTGGCACTGCCTGCCTCAAGGAGGTCCCTAGGGTACAGTGAAGGATATATGCCCTGCCGGCATGTGTGCATACGTGTGTGTGCATGTGTGTGTGCAGGTGCCAACACATCAATGATCATACTGAGTTCTACAGAAGAGGTAGACGTGAAGTGTTGGGGGCACAGAGGAGGGAGGAAGTGGAAACACGACCCTACTCCTTGAGGGAGGGGAAATTTTGCTGAGATGCCCAGGGATTTGCTTATTTCTTCTCTTTACATTTATTGAGCACCCATGGTGTGTGCCAGGCTTTGTGCAAGGTGCTGAGGGTTTGAGGTGAGTCGGGATAGCTGTGTGCCTGTCCCTAGGCAGCTCAGAGTCTAGTGGGGAAGGCAGACGTTAACTATACAACCACAGAAATCAGTATGAAACTCCTGCAGAGGTCAGTGTCCTGGAGGGTGGATGGTGATGGGAGACTCATCAGGGGATCTGACGGGATAGGGAGGTGGGGATGGATTCTTGGAGGAAGGGACCACTGAGCTAGAAATGAAGGATGGAAAGGAATTAACCAGTGACCACAGGAGGGAGGCCACTCCTGCCCCTTCATGGTCCCTGCTGCTCACACAGTGATCTCCTGGAGGAATTCATTGCTCCTCATCTCATGCAGAGTCAAAGCCAGGTCCTCAGCAGTGCACACCCCATTGTGAGCAGCACCTGCCATGCTCCCCAAAGGCTGTGCTCCGGCCACTCTGCCTTGTCTTGTCTTCAAACATCCAAGCCTGTTCCCAGCTCAGGGCCTTTGTGCTCACTGGCCCCTCTACCTGCAGAGCTCCTCCCTGAGGGCTGACAGGCACCCCTCTTCTCTTCACTGAGCCTTGGCTCCAATATTCACTGTCCAGATCCAATCACACGAGCACACCCCCAACAACAGTCCCTCGCTGTGTTGCCACTGGTTTTACTGCATTCATTGTATGTGCAGCAACTTCAGACTGTTCATTTTCATGTTTATTTGGGGGTGCATTGTGGATGATCTGTCTGTGTCTGTGGGTCTCTGTCTTGCTCAGCCTCAGTGTCTACAGCAGTGGTTGGCACGTAGCAGGGGCTCACTCTGTATCTGGAGTAAATAAAAGCATGTTTCAGGCAAAAGCCCAGCGTGACAGAGTACTGCCGAATCCAGCCTAGACAGACTAATAGGTTGCATGTGAGAAAGTGTGTGTGTGGGTGTGTTTGTGTATGGATGTGTTTGTATGTGTGCATGTTTTGTATGTGCAGGGGGTGTGTAGGGGTGGCCATGGGGAATCCATATTCCCAGGGAGGCCAGTTCCTCCTCAGGGCATTTATTTTAGAGATGAGGTGTCTGGGAGGAGGAGGCGGTGATAGCAGAAGCGTGGCTTTCCAGGAAATCCCACAGGTGTCTGGTGGGCACTACCTCCTTGGTCTGCAGAGAAGGGGGTCTTGACTGGTCAAGGCTGGTTTCCTGCCCTGGGAGCTGGGAGCCAGGCCAATTCCTACCCCCATTCTTTTAGTTCTTTTCATGACTGATCTTCTTTTCAGAAGAGGAGTCCTTTTTATTTCCCTGGCAGGACAGGAATCCTGGAATTCAGCACTGGTAGGGGCTGAGTATACTGGTACACGGGCTTTCATTGTACATATGAGGAAACTGAGGCCCAGCAATGGGGTTGATAGCACACAAGGTCATCTTGTGCATTAATGTTAGCCAGGGCTCCTGTCTGTGTCCTGTACCTAGCTACTTAGGCCACAGCAAGGCCCTGGGCTCCAGTAACCTGTCTGCTCCCATCACCACTCATAACATGGTGGGTCACCCCAAAATGCCTGCTTCCATGGTATTGTGTGGCTGCTGGCTCTGAGTCTAAGCCTGGCGGGCACCTCTCCCTCTCCAGCTCCTTCCTCTGCCGTCACCTGCAGCCTGTGGAGTCTGGGCAGCCAGCTGCCTCCTCTATGGCTCTCCTTTAGCTACAGCCCTGAATGCTGACCCCTTCCCTGACCATGCTCTGGGATGAAGGAGATTGAAAGGCCAAGGTTCCCAAGAACGATCTCTGGTTTTGTTCTTTACACTGGGAATATTTAGGGATCCTGAGTAACTTAAGCCCAGAGGAAATGATGCAGGGTCAGCCAGGCAGTATTGGATTAGGCTCAAAGCAGCCCCAAGGCAGTGGGGGCGGGGGGCTCTGTTCCTTAGGTGGGTTACAGGGGGCACTGCAAGATTTCCCCAAACATGGGAGAAAATGCTTGCAGCAAATACGACAAACCAGCAAGTAGCATTTATTCCACCTTCTGTTCACCCCACAACACTCTCTTACAGACAAGCATCTTTACTATATTAAGAACACATGCAAAGATATTTCTAAAGAGGGCCCTAACATATAAATGAGCAAAGGACATCAAAGGACAATTCAGGAGAAAAGGAAAAGCAATTAATCAATTCATCAAAGAACATGCACCCTCATTAGCAATCAAGGAAAAGCACAGCAGTGCTGCAATATCATGGCATCTTGGTTTTGGTCCTACTCAGTGAGGAAATGTTATTTTAAATAGCAACATCCAAAGCTGATAATGTTAAAGTGAGGAAGCATTACTAAAGCATCACTGGTGGGACTATCAATCTATCAATTGGTACAAACTTTGGGGAAATCGTAT